GCTAGTATGTAAACACCATCAAATTGTGTTCCAAGGCGAAACATCAGGGATTGCGCCAACGTGGATATCCCACTCGAAGGACACTTTTACCCATGTAACATGTTTAAGTAATTACAGCAACAGTACACCAAAACAGTCTGAATGCCCAGGTCCTAATATAGTTCAACTCCCTTATATCCCTTTATAAATGACACCAACATTTCTGCTGAGAGTATCCGCGAGAAACAAAAGACAAACAAGCGAAGGCCTCATAAACGCCGTAAGCTATCAAAAGTCCACCCAGGGGTCAACGGTATCGTACGGGTAGAGATTTCATTATAATCAAGATAGCAATCATGAAAGGGGAATAGAGTGATTGAGGATACACGGAGCGGAATGCAAGAGAGGTAAGTTGTTTGTTGATTGAGAGATATACAGCATCGAGGAGATGGGCGAGGTTCAGCCGGTCCGTGCAGCTTGAACGGGATTGACCATCGTTTGAGGTTGGTGCGCATATACACGCTGTCGCTTCGCGAGATTGGGGTTCTCGGCAGCACTGGCCATGTCGGAGACCTGCCGTCGTGGCTGTGGCCGTGCTGCAGCTGCAGCCGCAGCCGTGAGGGCCACAGGAGCTGGCGGATACTGTACCCCATTTTGGTCTACCGCATATGCAGCGGCAGTGGCGGGGGTTGCAGGTACGTATTGGCCTTGTACCTGCTGGAGATTAGGGTGAACTGCGGCCATGCCCTGGAATTGGCCGGGAGTTTGCCAGTTGTTTATGGAAGTGGCTGGTGACTGGCTAGGAGAACTATCTTCTTTGACGGACTGGGCTGCCGAGCTCTGTGCAGCCATTGTCACCGCTGCCGTGGGTTGGGTAGTTTCCATGCCTTGCGGAATGGTCTTTAAATGAACCAGGTGCTTTTCTAACATATCCAGAAGACTCTTTCGCGTGAAGGGCTTGGGAAGAACATCGTCCATTCCTAGTCAATGTTAGCAGGATAGTCGCGGAGCCCGATCCTAGTAGCAGATTAACATACCATGCTGGAAGTAAAGCTGAATGTCATCACTCCGGATGTTGGATGTCATGGCAATGATCGGCGTCCTATCAAATTGCCGAATGAGGTGACATGCTGAGACACCGTCCAGGTTGGGCATAATTATATCCATCAAAATAAGATCGTACTTCGAGCCATCCTGAATTTTGTTCACCGCCTCGAGTCCATCGAACTACGTTCCCATCAGTCAGAGTACGAGACTTGGAAAGATGACCTGTGAAGCCAACTTACGGCAGTATCAATGACACAAGAAAAGGAGTATAGGAATTTCCCGCCAATTTGACGACACGTCGCATCATCTTCGACCAGCAAGATATGCGGACTACGCATCCAACCCGGATCAACATTCGTGCTCTTCTTCCGATTGTCTGCGAACTGTCTCCGAGCGTCGTCGACTTCTTGCTTGGGCGGCATTGGATATGGCACATTATTAACATGCTCGCTGTACATCGGATCGATACCATTGGTAGCGCCCACAGGGTACACGACGGGTTCAATATCGCCGTTCATCTTCGGGTACACCAAGGCTGTGGTCGCGGCATTGGTCGGATTGGCTGGGTTTGCAGGGGTCGCAGCGGCTGCAGTTGGCGGTCGCACCACGCCATTCCGCGGTGCAGCATCCATTGCGGGCGTCGTGGCCACAACGGGACCTGTTTTGGGTGGCTCCCCTAACGAATCAAGGCCGCCGAGATTGAACTGAATTTCGGCATTCATATCATTGAGAAGCTTCGAGGCGTGCTGCAAGGGCGACGAAGGTTCATCGTCCATCGACGCCACCTGGGAAGGGCTCAAGGTCGACCCCCCTTGACCTTGTGCCTGGAAAGGTCCGGATGCTTTACTGTCTCGCCGTTGACGAGCATCCACTGATAAGAGATATGTCATCAGTTGGTGGATTACATGTTCGTGGTTGAGGACTGTTTTCTGAACTCTCATAACTTCCTGCAGCATGATCTGATGGTCGACAGTTAATTGTGCATAACGATCCGAAAGATGCTGAATTTGTTGTTGCTGCGCCACTATTTGCTGATTCAAGAGATCGATCTGTTGCGTTGGAACAGAATCTTCGTTGCTCTGGGCCTGTTTCCGAGGGGCAGGTGCCTTCCGTCGAATGTTGTCGAGTGACTCTTTGCTGTTCGCTCGGAATTCGGGGTGCTTGAATTCCCATGCCTAGATTCCTGATCAGACAACCCTGTCAAGCCACCAGTGCCAAGTATCGCAATCTTACATTCTGGCCATACGGTGATTGACCATTCTCTTCATTATTTTGTCTCACTTTGTGGAAGTCGTACTTGTTTAGTTGTCGTACAAAGCTGGCAAAGTTGCTGTGTTTGAAATGTTTGGGAAGGATAGTTTTCGTAAATTTCTCGCACTGCGACCGGATTTGGATCGATTAGCAGGAGGACAGCGGCTGCGAATTCTTCAAGCACGAGGACGTGCATTACCTCCAAGACGACAAAACTGTCCCCTTCATCACCCCACCGCACAATCTCCGAGTAGGACGGATCCTCCAACATTCTTGGAAAAGGAAAGGTTAGTGATCAGATAGAGAGAGGAAGAAGCCTTTCAAGTACTAGACGGAGGCATCTTGAATAGGAGGGCGTATAGCGGCATTAAGTCGGGTCGACAGGAGAGCTCGGGGGGAGAGACAAAAAGGAGACGATCAAACTCACTTGTAAAGTTTCCGCACCTATGCATTTTATCAGTGATGGTGAGCGAATGCTATAGCTTTTACTTCAAGACAAAAGCAAAAAAATAAAGTAACAATAATATAGTAGGAATAAAGAGAAATAATATCATCGATATCATTGTCAAAAAGATCAACACTTACAAAATCGCTGGAGTTGCCCGCGGGGGCGGTATTGGTTGTGGTCTGGCCACCGTCCATCGTGGGCTAGATGGGTCGCGACCGATCGAACAAGCAACAGGCTCAAGCACGTCGCAGAACCTCACGAACAACGGCTGCGGGAAAGTATTGAAAAGAAAAAAGAAAGAATATCCAAGCCGGTGGTCAATTACGCACCGAGATCGCGAAGGAGAAATTTCCGGGAGAAAGGATCAGTAAGAAATAAAGGTGAAGAAGAGAAAGAGAAAAGAAAAAGAAGAAGGGGAAAAAATGACGGTCTAAACTGGACGGCGTTTGGTTGAGAGAGGTCAAGAGAAAGAGTAGGGAAGAGATGGTGGCAGTTCCCTAGTTAAGTTTTGGGTAATTTACTACTTCGTTGCAAAAGTGGGACTTTTGATGGGGGGTCACTGACTTGGTCTCTGCACCCGCCATTGGCCTTTTCTGTGCTGTCCGAACCACCGGTCACCGTTCACTAGCCACAACTTGCCATTTTTTCTCTGCTTTTTTTTTTACTTTTCCCATTCCTTTCATTGCTCTTTTTTTTTTTTTTTTTTTTTTGGTCCTCCCCTTCTGAAATTCTTGGGTACACTTATCGCAATGTTAAACAGCTTTCACTTCCCCCAATGCAAGGAGCTAAAGGGGGAAAGAAAAACAGACAGGAGCTCATCTCTGACACTCTGACCGTAAACAACAGCCGACAAGACATCTACTAAGTGCAATTACCTCGGAGGGGAAATGATGATGTGGAGAAAACAGTCCACTTCTCGTACTGTCGACCTTAGTGCCTTAAATGATTAGAGAACATGGCTTGATTCTTACGAGTAGATTTGTTGCCAGTCATAAAGGTACAGCTAGTTACATCTGAGTTATTCTCTCTTTGCCTTCCTTCGTGTTCTGGTTTCCAAGGAATTGAACAGTGGAAAAAAAAAAAAAAAGGTCAGTGCGTTCATGATGCAGACAACGTGCGAGGAAAGGATGGAGGGGAAAAGATGGAGATAGGCTGTTGGATATGCAAGAGGAGGGGCAAATCAACCTGCAGCGATCGTCGAAGGAAAGAGAGGAGAGAAGAGCGGAGATTGTTCATTCTCATCGGCATACTAGTATCTGATGACATTGACTTCTTTGGATCCATTCATTTAATTATCACCGAATTTTGAGGGCACTAGTCCAAAGGTGATCTTGAATCATTCCTTTTTGGGATACATTCTAGTCAGGTGTACATATTACATAACATTAATTATGTACACTTGGTGGTATGTAAGGTAGTAGGTAGTAGTAGTTCGTTTGCATGGATCCATACTTCACGCTATTTCTGTAGGAGATAGTAGGGTAGTATTGACTCAGAAATATCTGACGTTTCTTTTTTCATTGAAGATTTTTGTTTTTCCGAGAAAAAAGAAATCAACAAATGTAAAACAAAGATAGCATGCACCCGATTCATTGTGCTTCAAGGTTCAGTTGTACAGTTGTATTTACTGTTTATAGTTTAAAATCCTTCAACGGTGGAGACTAACCCACTTGGTCATCAAAAGTCACCTGTGACTCGGAAGACACATACTGATTCCGGTTATTCGTTGCTGATCGCTTGCAGGTCAGTCTTAGCATCCTGCCCCATCCAACTGCCGCACCTAATGCCATCATATTCTAACTATACTTTCCTTCCGTCTCCTGACTGCATTTTGTTCCCCCAAAATAACTCTGATATGAAGTACTCCGCAAGTGCTACCAGTTCCAGGGTAGAGGGGGCCAGACCCTTCCATGGCTAACAGGGGGAGCTATACGCCACCTCCAGAGATTCGCTTTCCGTCGGGTACAATAACTTAGAACCCCGACCTATAATAAGAACAATAAAACCTCCTCTTCGTTTGTGACGTAACCCGCTCGGCCGATCGACTCTGATCGACAGACTGCAATTTATTTATTTTTTTTACTTAGCAGGTATGTTCCGTTCTGCATGGATGTACCGTTCACTTATGTTTGCCCGTAGAGATATATATACCTGCGAGAAATGCAAGGAAAAAAAAAAAAAAAAAAAAAGCATGACTCTACTATATGGGCTTTGAATTCCATATCCCGCATTATTCGCCACACTCGTAAAGCATCCGACGAGAAAACAAGCACATCTACTGGTACACAGTCTCATCAAGCGCTTCCTTAACATGCTTTGGAAGGTAATAATTCCGGCACAGTCCGGTCCAGTGGATTCCATCCAACCGTACCAGAGCCAAATTCATCAACGAGGAACCCTCGCTCTGCCTTCGAAGCGCCTGTCGCCACATGTGCACTAATCGTCTGGCCCTAATAGCATGCTCTTTCGAGGGTGCTTGCACGAGTAAGAGTAACATGAAGCTGGAAACAGTCGCGAAGCCAATCCGAGACCCTGGGTACAGATAGTATGTTAGAGAATCTCTGCCCAGAGATGAATGAGGAGATAGAAGACGCATACATGAGAACCAATACCCAGCCAAGTCACTATATGCCATTCTCATTACCAATCGAAGCATCTTCGCGGCGCAGTTCTCGGCCGCTTTGAGAACAGCGCTCCCCGCACCGTTCTCGTTTGACAGGTCTATTGCCGGGGTGGGTTCGATTTCGTCAGATTCCATGATATGGAAGATGTAGTCATCGAGTGCTGTGGTGAAGTTGGTTGAGGCTTCTGTGGCTTCGAACAAGGGTGGCGGAGTAGCAGACCGGACCATAGGTCGCAGAAGAGCGCGGAAGATGAACACTTCCAAAAGCGTGTATGCAAAATGAAGACAGGTTAATTGTGGACCTGTCCCGTCAATGGATGCGAAAAGCCTATCATGCAGTCTGAGTGGTGCCGGTAAATGGACGTACCATTCCCTCAGCTTTTGAAGAAGTGGACGAGCGGTTTTGAAAGATTCCGGGAAATTCGACGATAAGCGTTGTGAGGATCGCAGAGCACTATTGATATGCCTGTTAATAACAATACGGCTTTGATAAGATAAAAATATCACCTACTAAAGGTCATGCTGCACCTCATCTGCTATGAGAGACAGACGAGCGAAACATTGGAATTGCTGTGCATGCAGTACATCTTGTGCCAGCAGGCTTCTCGGAGGCGACAACAAAACGATTTGCGCTTCATCAATATGGAAATCATTGTCATCGAGTTCTGTTACATCCCACTCATTTTGTCTGATATACGGGGGCCGACCCATCAGGAGGCTTCTCCATTTGTCCTCGGCATAAATTGCCCACCATAGTCTTCGTCGCAGTCGGCGCTCCCAGGCAGGAAGGCCCATCGGCCCACATTCCATCTGAAGGCCGAGCGATGTAGCAAGTCCGACGAGTAATCCAACAAAAGACCATACAGATGCGCTGTCAGCAACAGCACTTTGACTCTTTCCTGGTGCTTTGTGCAAATAAAGCAGTCCTGCTTGCAGGACTGCTAAGTGAGGGGTGTGGATCTCTTGTAGAAGAATCTCCCACACCATGCGCCAGAGCTGCTCAGTTGGCGGTGTTGAGTAAGCGTTGAGAACTGAGAGATACTCGTCAAACTTGGTAAATGGTTGTGCCGAAGCGTATATGGCGGCCAGGAGATGGACCGGCATGTTGTTAAGAACGTGTTGATCGGGTGTGATGCGAGTAAAGGTGAGACCAAATAATGACCTAGAGATGACAGGAAGAGTCGGGAAGATGAATTTTACAAACCTGTTATGTCAGTTGATGATACTGAATCACACGAGGAGGCCACTCACAAGGCTACCAGTTTTTGGCCGCAGTCTAGGGGAACCAGGCCATTCAATTCCTCCCTTCGACTCTGACTCCTGGGAATGGCTGTTTCTTCCTTTGCGGGCCCATACAACTCGTCCGTAGTTACTAGAAAGTGAACGGGAATCTTTTCGTCAAGCGGAAGCCCTCCCGCATTCCGGAAATGTACCTGATGGAAAAGAAGAAAACCATGGTCGTCGAATTTGCAATGCCGGAGAAGCCATGGGTCTGATTCGCCTGAGGCCCCAGTGACTTGATATGAGAAGCCTTTCAGCTGGTCTAATGTCTGGATCGCCTGAGCTGGAGGCCTCTCTGGAAAGTGATAAGTTGCTGGAGCCGTCGTAACGGGTTCGCTTGACGGGACTTCTCCTGAATCAGGGCCAGCTGAGGGGCCTAAGGGGAGGATAGGCTCTGACTGGCATCGAGCAGAGTCATCCGTGTTGACTGCGGCGTGTAGCTCCTCCACGGGCTGCACAGCTGTCACTTGTTGGGCTGAAGGAGGAGACGCTTGATTCGCGTCGGCGAGTGCCGTCGATGGCTGATGAACAGCCTGAAGGCCACCGAAAGTGCACAAAGAACCAGAAGTTTGACATCTTTGACAAGTATTTCCTCTCTCCGCCTGACATCTTAACTTCTTTCGACGACATGGGTCACAAGGCGGATGACGCTTAGAACGATATGGGCGAGTGTAGCTCGGGGTATGAGGGCTATTTGCATTTGACGGGGAAAGTGACTCCATACTCTTGGTTTATGATGTTCGGCGAAAGATAGTAGGGTAAATGTATTCTTCTGTGTCTGCCGAAAAGTCATCCGGAAACGTTCGGCGAATTAATGACCTGATTCGCTCCCTGGCCCGGACCAATGTTGGGAGAAGGCGCAGTAACAACTCAACCAGTTCGTTTTAATGGGTCTTGAGCAACCTTCCAATTAGTCCCCCTAATGTGGTCAATTCAGCCACTAAAGCTATCACAGGAAAGAATCTGCAGGGTCTACTTGTAGTGTGTCTGTTAAGGTGCGTGTCCCCTGCTACGGTCACGCAATCTGAATACTTCCACAACAGGAGACCACGTTTCTATCCAAAAGCAAATTCAAAGCCTCATCAAAACAGTACGGAACTGGTAAACTCTTTGCCTGAGAATAATTTTCGCCCTTTGGTGGATCATCCCCGTAGCCGTATATCTAGTATGTGTTTTCGGAGGGCTCAAGAGTGACCCCAGCAGGAGAAAAAAAAAAAAAAAAAAAAAAGGCTTGATGCAGAATGTTTACTAAACAAATCCTCATACTCCTTCTGCTTAACAATTTATACGTGCTCGTCAGACACAATCACAATCTCCACATCGCTGCCAGGAAATCGGGATATACCCGCTTCGCCGTATGACGTCTCGACGTACATGGGACGTGTTCGTTAATGCGCAGACCTATCAGACCCTAGGTAATAACAGAGCGCTCCGCGCTCTGCCATTATCATTTTTCGAGATTCATATTCCAGCAACATGATATTAGTTAACTAACAGTCTGGTACAAGAACGTTGTTCGAGTTCCGATCATTTGGAAGAAAAGTTTCATGGAAGAGGAGGTGAAAACGGACAAGTGATATTCAATCGTGGCATATAAGGTGCTCTCATAGGTGTGGAGGCGTCAGGTCTATATATAGCCTGTAATGCATAGTCATTTGAGGATAATCTGAGACGTGTTCGCATAGTCTATACTTGTCCTAGAAACTGGTATATCTTGTGACGACTAGTTCCTGAAAGTATGTACAAAATTAATATATATAGCCAAATTTTGACATACGATCAACATTTATATCAGATATGCTTACAGGAAAGCAAATTTAGGCTCTTAAAAGAGGAGCACATATGTGCTAAGAGGCAGTAGATGCTACCGGATAATTGGATGTCACGCCGACTGTCCACGCATGCATGACTTCTGCTTGAGAGCCGGTCAGGTGGCATTAAATGTAGCCGAGTGGCACAACCAAGAAAGAAAAGAACAATCTTCCTCAGCAGCAGACGCTATTCTATCCCTGTGTCTACACCGCGCAATATCCAAAAGAGCCTCCGGCCTCTGGAATTCTAATCGACGAAAAGCTAAAGAGCTTCGATGCAGACTTTATTGAACTGGGCGGCAAGCTCCGCCATGAAAGAAAGATGAAGATCGTAAAATGGTACACTCAGCACTGGAAGGATGGTGAGAGGAGATTGAAACTGCTGCCTCGGTTTGCAATCCTCTCGAAGCTACGTCACGTCACATACGGCGCTTACCGAAGAAAGACGATAGCTCTGTGGCGTGTCGAGATTTTGAAGGGCTTTCTTCGGGTCTTCCCGAGTCGCAGGGTCAGTGTCATATATAGGGGTACTACTTCCACTAACACTTGGTATGAAATATAGTAGATGCTGGAAAGGTCGTTTTGTCCAAAGGCCTCAGCTATGGTTCTCGTGTGGACTGTGTTTCAAGAGTCTGTACGAGAATCAATGTGATACGTATGCGCAGGGCACGGAGTTCCCCACCTTAGAGAAGGGGCGTAAAAGATATGACTATGGGCCCAGGTATCTTTTTTGGAGACAGTAGAAACGTGTTCAGTGCTTAATGACTCGCTCCCATTCCATATATTATAAATAATGATGGTGGTCGATATCTGTTTCCTTTTCCACGGCCGAGTCCATACTCAATACTCATACAAAAGGACGAGGATAACTGCCAGATACACCGCTACTAGTATGATCTACAATGCGTGGATCTCGGAGTTCGCCGGTCAGGGCTATCTGTCTAATTCAGCCAATCACCGTTCGAGATGCCCGAGGTCTCCATCGAGGTGTTTAGTATGCCATCACTCTACCCAATTGGTCTTGATCGGCCACAAAACTAGATGGAGCATTTTCCTCTTTATGCCCTATCTCTTACAGTCCTGTTCGCTCAGAAACCGGCTTCATGGGTCGGTCTTCAATATGGGGCTCCAATACCAAGTGGTCCGAGTCGACTTGTCGGCTCGGCAGAAGAAGACAACTTCGACACGAAATGAAATACTTATATATATATAGATATGTATACAGCAGTTAATCGCTCTAGTGCATCCTCCGACCAGCTCGCTCTCTCGGGTATCCGCTACTCTTTGCCGTTCCATTCGACATGGATACGTCAAGCAAAGAAGACCGGACCGTGGCTCCTTCAAGGACGTCCGAAAGTCCCGAGCTAGCAAATAATGAAAGCTACCCGGAAGGAGGTATCAGGGCATGGCTGGTAGTTTTCGGGGCGTGGTGTGCTATGATCCCATCTATGGGCCTGTTGAATAGTCTGGGAATCCTGCATGCCTGGACGAGCACTCATCAGCTTCAGGGCTACTCCGAATCAAGCATTGGTTGGATATATGGTGCTTATGGATTCTTTCTTTACTTTGCCGGAGCACAAGCTGGTGGGTGAACCTGTGTCAGTTACATGAACAGTTACTGAACTATGTGTAACAGGGCCGATATTTGATGCGTATGGACCAGCATATGTCATTATTCCTGGGTCAATTGGGATGGTGGCTGCGCTGATATGCTTTAGTTGTAGTGAAGGTATATCTGGCTATACCCTCCTTGTACTCTTGTATGGATCTCATCACACACCACAACCCCTAACACAATGCAGAATATTACCAGATTTTCTTATCCTTTAGCGTCCTCGGAGGAATCTCAGCCTGCACACTGTTCACACCGGCAGTTTCATGCGTCGGGCACTGGTTCAACGTTCGCCGCGGCTATGCAACAGGCATCGCCTGCACAGCCGGCGGACTGGGCGGCGTGATATTCCCCCTGATAATACTGTTCGCAGCCCCCAAAATCGGATTCCCATGGGCCATCCGCATCATCGCCCTGCTATGCGCCGTCCTCTGCACACTAGCCTGTCTCCTCATGAAAACACGCCTCCCGCGCAACAAAACAGCAGGAGGCTCCATCGATTTCAAAGCCCTCAAAGACATCAAATACGCCACCACAACCGCCGCCGTCTTCCTGGTCGAGTTCGCCGTCTTCATCCCAATCACCTACATCGCCTCATACGCAGTCCACGTCGGAGTAGACAACACCATGTCCTACGCGCAAATCATCTTCCTCAACCTCGGCGCCATACCAGGCCGCTTCCTCCCCGGCCTCATCGCCGACCGACTAGGCCGCTTCAACGTCATGGTTCTCACATCGCTCCTATGCGCAGTACTCACCCTCGCCCTCTGGCTGACGGCAGGAGACAACCTAGCCGCGATCATCTGCTACGCAGTGCTTTTCGGCTTCTGGAGCGGAGCGGCCATCAGTCTCACGCCCGTGTGCATCTCACAGGTCTGCGCGACAGAAGACTACGGGAAGAGGAACGGAACGACCTTCACGATCGTTAGTGTGGGCACGCTCACTGGGATTCCGATTGCGGGCGCCATACAGCAGCACAATGGAGGGGATTACTGGGGGCTTATCGTGTTCGGGGGCGTGCTTTATCTGGCGGCTACTGTTGCTTTTGCTGTTGCGAGGGGTGTTTGTGCGGGGTGGGCTTTGAAGACTAGATTTTAGAAGATATAGAAAGATATAGAATAGAATCTCATGAGATGGTTTAATCAGCTACAGTGATAGGGGGATAGTTTCATCTTGAAATGCGAGTACTACTGTAGTACCTGTATACATGCCGATGTGTCTTACCTACTAGGCGGAGGTCCTAGGGTTGCAAACACCGTGGTTCTACGGTGTTTTCGCCGTGTTTTAGGCATGTCGAATTTTCTTTTCGTGTCTAAGGAATCTATCATATAGGATGTATACTTTTAATATTATTGATTAAGTATCATATTGCTACAGTAAATTTCCAAAATATACAATATTTCTACTATAGCTCAATAATTACTCTCTACAGTATATATATTTTTAAAAGGAATAGAATAGTATATCAGTGGTAGAACCAAGCAATTGTATAAAAACTAAGCGTGTTGAAGCCGTGGTTCTACCATCCAGTTTTAGGGTTACTGTACTTCCACTGTGATCAAATTAAGTATACATCCTGCACCGTGTCTTCAACCCTAGGATCTGAGTAGTACTCAGGACCAGAATTTGAAAAATAAACACTAGATATTATATGAAGACATTCTAAGTCCTCCACCAAAGCTATACAAGATTGATTTCCATTTAAAAACCACCCTATTCACAATAATTACTACACCCCAAAAGAACCACAAAGAAAAAGAACCCCCAAACCAAACCTCAACCCCCAGACACAAGAAAAATTAAGCATGCATAAAGCCCCCTTACCCGCGTAGCATAAATCTAGACTAGACCCTTGAAACCCCCACCAAAAATAAAGGTACTTATTTCCCGCCACAAACGGTTCACCCAGCGCCCCCAGAAACGGGCTCTCCATTTTAAGAAAATAAACTATTTTGATTATTCTCAATAACCGCCTGATTGTCGGTTCGGTTGGAATGATCATTCGGCGAAGGCCAGATCTATCATCTGTGCACCGCGGAGACCAATGAGAGCTTGGTTTCGCCGAATGGATACGGGGTTCTCCACGGCTGAGGTCGAACCGATGAGGATCCTTACCACAGCAAGTGTGTTTGTACGATGGGGGGAGACGGTGAGCGAGGAGATCTGACGGGATCGATGATGTGAACGTGCATTAGCATGTAGATCTATATCTGTCGTGGTTGTTGTCGCGTGGGAGGCGATATTTCTGGGATCGTTATATTAAGGAGTACAAGTAAGTGCATTCTCTCAGGGTCCTTTCATCTTTTCTCTCTCTCCCCAGGGTTTACTATTACTTAGTACTTAACCCTCTCCACGAACTACTACACCATACAAAGTCCCACTGCCACCATATATTATATCCGCCATCATGAGTGACAAACCCAGCCCCAAGAACCTAAAGACCAAGATCCAATCCTTCCTCCATATACCAGACCGCACAGATGCCGCGAGAGTCTCTGACACTGCGTCCGAGGTCACTTTGGCACCCAGGTAAGAATTGTGTACTGTACTTCGAGAAATATCGAGGCAGATGTATGGACCTCTCTTAGGAATCGATCGAATATGGTGAAAGGGTCTCAGGGTCGAGCTGCCACTGCTTTGTATAATGGTATGTGCTTATCTGGTTGTGTGTTGTGTGTTGTGTGTTTCAGGAGAGCTGACTTGGAGTCTGGGTCTAGGTGATCAGTGCTTTGGCACTTGCTGTCGCGGGAGTGGGTATTCGCGGTGAAGGGTAAGGGGGTTACTTATGATATCCATATTGGGGGTTTGTTGGCTTTTCTTTTTCTTTTTGTCTTTTCTTTTGGTTTTTGGTTCTGTTTTGGTTTTACTTTCTGTTTTTTTATGTGGTATTGAAAAGGCATTTCTTTGGAATGGTTGCGTCGTGGATTCTGCTCTTCTCCGACTTCACAAGATACATGTCGGTTATATGATATTTACAGGGAGAGAAAGTGCAAGACACACAAAGACCCAAAGTCCTGGGCACAGTTCTACCCATCACTCCATAACCACAAATCAGTCTGTAATCCCTCCCGTTCAGCATCCAGGACCAAATTATTCGCGTTCAGTTGGTCCGTAACTGAGAGCATCTGCTCCAACGACAACCCACACTCTTTCCAGTCGAAGTGTATCTCATCGTCCTGGCCAACATCGGCAGCGTCTGGTACTGACAGGGCCGGGCTGATACCCGTTGGTAGAACAGCCGCGGATTCATTCGCCTGCTCTGACGGCTGTTCCTCGCCCACCTGCTTGGCACTACTCCCGGGGGTGAGGGGCTGCAGGTGAGGCTGGAGCAACGGCTGAACTAGTTCTTCTAACTGCACGATTTCGGATTTCCGGAGCTGTGCTACGCGGTTTCCCCGAGCGATCATGTCGTCTAGTAGACTGAATCCCATGTCGCGGTAGCTGGGGTCTGGGATGATGTCCGGGAGGATGGCGGATATCAGGGATAGGATGAAGAAAGATGAGAAGAGGTTTTCGAGGTCAAAGGGGAGGAAGGTTTCTGGTTGATGCTGTTAGCATTTTTATTTGGGGGTCAGTGGGAGAAGACGGACCGAGAAGGCTCTGGTCACGCAGCGCAGTGAGGATTCTCAAGGATTTTAGTGCAGAGTCGGTAGATGCTTGCAGAAGGGTCTGGACTGGTGATGATAATGTTCGGAATATGTCGCCTTGCTCGAAGCAGTTGAGTCGCTCCCAGAGGAGGGTCAAGACGAGTGGTCGAGTAGTGACGATGATGCACTAAATATTTGTTAGGAGCTATCTGTACAATTTCCAAGCCACATACCTGATGACAGGATAATGTCAGTCGCGTAGTGACTCCAGATAGCGACTCGACAGAATCTGAAAACCGATGCGCGAAGACATCCTCCAACTCGCGCGAAAGGTCCGTTATTTCCTGCAACACCGACCGAACCTTCCGGAGGAAGATGCCGCCCAGCTTTCCATCTGGGCTATATACAGCTGAAGTGTGCCTAGTCAGACTAAGGGTTTAGGCGAGGAACGAACGCATACTTACTGTCCAGCACACGGGTGATAACCTGTGTAATCCTCACATGCAGACTCAATGCGGCTTCCTTTTGGCCACACAATTTTGGATCCGAGAGGGGCGTGGTTATCTCATCATCCTTGACCGCGTTGGGTGATCCGATCAGCGATGAAAACTTTCGGTCCAGTATGTACACGGTCCACCATATATTTTGACACCGATCCACGAGCTTTTGGCCAAGTTGCTCAACAGGCGGGGCGCGGTGATGACCTTCCACCAATGCCATGCGTATGGCGTGGCCGATCTACACTGTTTAGCTGTGATGACCAGAAAAGGAAACTTGGAAGAAAAAGAGCTTCAACGTACATAGCAATATGCGGTATCTCTCATGTCGATGGAGTGGAAATAAAGCCCGATGAGAGTAAGAACCTCGATGGCTAAAACAGGATCTTGCCATAAGCCCGTAATGTCAGGCAGGAAGGACATGGCTCGTAAGAAATATTTCGTCCAGCTAGCAGCATTGGAAACCTTTCGCACTGGTGCTAAGAGAGCCTCCCCGAATGCCAATACGATCAAGAACTGGACGTACCAGAGACGGCTCTCTTGTACCTTCACTTCGGCGTTATCGTAGAACTCATATAGATGGCGAAGAAATTCATCTTCATCAAACAACAAGTATAAGTGACTAAAATGGAACTGAACCGCGTTCAGTATATACAGTGCATGCTCCAGGGAGGGTAGTCCACTGATGTCAGGAAGCTCCTCGGAGCTGGCTTGTCGCCACTGAAGTTGGTACGCATCGCCATCCACAGCGAGAGGTAGCGGTGCCGAGCTGTGTGGACTCAAGCGTGCTTGGATGGTATTCAGAATCCGACGACTGAAGGACCAGGTAGATGTAGGTCCGAGGAATACTAGACAGGTCAGTTTCTGTGGCGGGTCTTGACAGCAAGTGACATACACCACGGTCTCTGCCTGCGGCCAGTATGCTTGACGTAGCCAGGCGATACCAAGGCCAGGGGATTGGAGGCGAATCGTTCATCATATCGACTGCCCCCGGATTGTTCAGGGGTGGGCGGTTGGGGTGTCTCGGATGTTCGTTCTGTTGTTGCACCCGTGTTACCATAAGTGCTTTCACCCACACTGCTGCTCTCCAAAGTACGAGTCCGTTTCCTCGGTGGCGTGGTAGACTCGAGCTCCTCCACCCTTCGCTTTAGAGATAGAAATAACCTGAAACATCGTCAATCTAGTGTGAAGAGGATGGGGGTCTTGAGATGTATGTACTCTTCTGAGACAACAATTTTCCGATCATCTTCAAAGACACATTCCTGACGACGCTGTCGACATTTATCGCAGGGATGTGTGCCGGAGCATTTGACTTTGCGAGATCGGCATCGCCTGCACCTGCGGAGAGTCAGGGTTGATTCTTGACAAGCTGGATTCAAGACTTACGCGTTGGAGGTCCGCTTTGGGCGCTCAGGGCGATCCATCTTGATCCCCAATGACTATGGCATGCTAGCCTATGTGATTGTGGCAAAAAAGCCTCGTCGATATCGCTTTTCCAGTCGGTGAATGCATTGTTGAGGGTATCCACGGGGTGAGTCAGCAACCCCGCAGTTTGATAGCGAAAACGAGAATTCGGCCACTTGAGCGGATAAGCCGATAAGATTAGATACTAGTATTCATAGGATTCGAACCACAGAGTACACTTTGTATAGATAAACCAGACAACAAAAAAGTTGTCTCCCCCGAGCCGGAATCGAGCCAGCGACCTTTTGATTACAAAGGAATTTCCATTACAGTCAAACGTGATATCCAACTACACCATCAGGGGTTTCGACGTGCTGATTATACATACATAATGTCTACAAGAACCATGAGTACATATATTATCTTGGTCCATTCAAACCTAACCGCTTCCCGGACTATACTTCAGCCTCACCGATCCAGTGTTTGAACATACATATACCTATCTACATATTCAATCATAGATCTTAGAAGGGAGTAAGACGCTAGTTATTGGGGTAGGCAGCTGATATACCAGATATTGAGGCCTCGATATACAATTAGCGGGTTTCTGCCAAGGAGAATATATAATTAGGAATTACGTATAAGCTTGTAAAGTTCATAATAAATGGTCATGTTGCTATAGGATGCAGTGAGTGGTGCATTCGCTAATATTGCCTCCTACGAATAACATTTCCTGCGCTGTGGCTATTCATCCATATGACCGCCCTTCCATGAATATACTGCTGGCAAGGCAGCCGATCGACCGGCACTTTGAGCCTATCAGTGCTTCAGGGTATGGGCCAAGTGACTGCGCTTTTGTCCAAGCGCGACCAGCACGCTAAACCGCCTTCAGCAAGAGATACGCTGAGTCGGGTATCCACCAATCAGCCACCAGTTCCTATCGATGTCAGTTCCCAAAGGGGTTTAAAGCCAAATTTCCGGCCGTTTACTATGAGACAGCTTGGCTCTGGGGGATTATCAGAGACCCACGAAGGAAGACTTGGCTATCTGGGGTGACCATTATATAAACCGGACGTGGCCCGGGCTCTCAGCTCACATCAATAGTCACATTCTTTCATTTTTATTTCTCCTAGTGAAAGAACAATGGCCTCACTCCCTCATCCGTTTGACCCCATTACCCCCGGGGAGATCCAGTTGGCCACCAAGATCCTGCAGGCCGCTTTTCCCGGGGTCTCTCTGCGCTACAAGAAAATTGATATCCAGGAGCCAATCAAGCAGGAAGTAGTGCCTTTCATTGAAGCCGAGAGACTGGGAAAGCCATTGCCTCGCCGGCCGACCCGCTTGCTGCAGGTTCTCTTCCATCGATTGGACAATGGCGCATTCTACAAGGCCTTGCTGGATGCAGGGAAAAGGTCTGTCATCTCAGCCAAAGAGATGCCCAAAGATATTCAGGTATTTCATACCACACCACGGTCGTTATTAGCTATGAGCTAACGTGTCTAGGCCCATGTTGATGTAGATGAGATGCTCGAGATGGAGCAGCTGTGCCTGAACCATCCCGCTGTCCAAGCCGAAGTGGCCAAGATGCAATTGCCAGAGGGGGTTACGGTTTGCAATGACCCCTGGATCTATGGAACCGATGATCCGAAGGAGACTCGCCGTCTGTTTCAATGCTACATGTATATCGTCGCCACCGACCACGCCCAGAACAACCAGTATTCCACACCCTGCAAGTTCTCCCCTGTATTTGACGGGCTCACCAAACAACTTGTACGCATGGACTATCTTCCCAGTGGCACTGATGTGCAAACCACGGAGACCCAGCCGTGGAAGCCCGTTGAGACCATCCAATACGCACATGACCTCCTTAAGGAGCCTTTGCGCACTGACCTCAAGCCGTACATTGTCCAGCAGCCTCATGGGCCATCCTTCAACGTTCAAGATAATGTGGTCTCCTGGCAGAAATGGCGGTTCCGTGTGGGCTTCAACAGCCGCGAGGGCCTGGTAATTTACAACCTGACCTACGATGGACGTAACGTGTTCTACCGTCTCTCCGTGTCGGAAATGACCGTCCCTTACGGTGACCCTCGGGCACCCTACCACCGCAAGCAGGCGTTTGACGTAGGAGACGTTGGGTTCGGTATTACTGCGAACCAGCTATCCCTGGGATGTGACTGTCTCGGCCACATTAAGTACTTTGACGGCTACCGCTCCGACTCCAAGGGCAACCCGATCCATCTGCCCAATGTTATCTGCCTCCACGAGCAAGACAACGGGCTTCAGCATAAACACAGCAACTACCGTACAGGGGCCGCAACGGTAGTCCGCAACCGCCAGCTGGTTGTGCAGATGATCTGCACCGTGGCCAACTATGAATACATTTTCGCGTTCATCTTCGACCAAGCGGCCAACATCGAGCTCGAAGTACGTGCCACCGGCATTCTCTCCACCGTACCATTCGACAACGAGGAGTTCGGTAAGACCGTTCCCTGGGGTACAAACGTGGGCCCCGGCGTGATGGCCCCTTACCATCAGCACATGTTCTCATTCCGGATGGATCCCGCCCTGGACGGGTTCAAAAACACGCTTTACTATGAGGACAGTGTGCCCATGCCCGAAGACGAAAACAACCCATGGAGCGTGGGGTACACAACAGAGCAGACCGTCCTCCGGACGAGTGGAACGGCCAACACCAGCGTCGAACGCCACCGTGTATTCAAGATCCGCAACGACTCTCAAATCAACCCTATTACCTATAAACCAATTTCATACAAGCTGCAAACCGCACCCAGCCAGATGCTTCTCGCCAGCCTGAAGTCCTTTAGTGCCAAGCGTGCCGCCTTCGCCACCAAACCTATCTGGGTAACCAAGTACCAGGATGACGAGCTATTCGCCGCCGGTGAATTCACCAACCAAAGCAAGGAAAGCCAAGGTGTCGAGAAATGGGTGCAACGGAACGACCCGGTAGAGAATGAAGACATCGTCCTCTGGCACAGTAAGTCCCACTCCTCGCTCCCTTTGGCAGAGATGGAGAACTAACGTAGGTAGCATTCGGCCTGACCCACAATCCCCGCATCGAAGACTTCCCCGTCATGCCGATGGAGCGCATTAGTGTCATGCTGAAGCCCGACGGGTTCTTCACGAAGAACCCGGCCCTGGATGTGCCGCAATCCTCGCAGTTATTTAACAAGTCCACGCTGCACCCGGAGCCGGCGGCCTGCTGTGGTCCAGCGAAGGGCAAGCTGTAAGCATGGTATTTGATAGGACATAAAGCCATGAATTGATGACTGATGATCAATCACCTTGACATGACTACTGCGTAATCTAGTGGAGACCAGAATAAATAAATCGCAACTAGTACCCAATGCTTAATTTGGTAACAACAGTAGGATACAGTCAACATTGACGCCGCTTTACTGTACTATGGTTTGTATCCTTAACTGAGACACTCTGGTCAAAGAATGCCTAAGTATAGCAATACATAGAATATTCATTAATCAGCCTGTAAGCCTTTATTTACGAAACGATTACGTCTTTATGAAAGCAGTATTCATTCCAATAGCAACTACATAATAGACAATGAAGCATTTCATTCCCAGCACTGCACTCTCTTTCAGGGAAGTCTGATTCGCTTTCCATGACGCTGACCGGGACGCAGTGCCTATCCAGCGTTGCTTGGGCCATTTTGCAGTACAGTCTTATGTTTCCCTACGGTTCATGGGGACTAAGCTAGTCATTGGATACCCTGGGGCCTGCTCCCAGACAGCCCCATCAGCGACAGTTTTCTTTGTGTTCCTTTCTTTGTGTAGCATCCAGCTGTCCTACATGATAATCTCCGGTATCTAGCTTGAGGTGCACATTACCCTTATCCCGTTTATTGTAGTTAGAAAGGCATGTGTATACTAATATTAGGACCGGGTTGGCCTGCTCAAAAACCTAATCCAGAGCTGGGGTCGTTATGGAGAAGAATTGACCAGAAGGTTAAGGTTAGAGCTTTATTTAACCTTAATGACCAAGGTACCAAACTAAATCTATGAGACAAGCATAGTAGGGTCTCTCAATATTTATACCTTTGACAGAATCTAGCCCTAATCCCACTGTCTGCCTAAATAAGTTTACTATCTATATGGCATCTCTCAGTGCCAATGTGTAGTGTAATTTGGATCACACACTGATAACAAAGTAAGAATAAGTAGAGATTTCTCGATTTACCTGCCAATGATTGTATGACAGGAGTCCTATATAACTGAAATTCTATATTACAGTAACACTTCCGGCATCCTTACATCAATCTGTATCCGTGACCTTTATCCAACGTCAAACCTCCAAAGCCTCCGGTCCACCCTTGACCAGCCGAGGCAAAACAAGAGAGTGAGCAGTCCCATCTGCAAACAGCTTCAAGAAAGCTGCGACCAACTGGTCCATTCCCTCAGCAGAGGCTGCAGCGATCCAGTCTGCTGTACCTTGTGCGGTAACAGTCTCACCAACCTCTTCTTCCACGTAGGCGCGAGCCTGCTGGACGGGGACGACGGTTTCTCCGCAGTGGTGAACATATACCGGCTCCTTGGTGTCGACAGCGACTCCTGCCAGTGCAGTTTCGAGGACCGTCCGAGCCACGGACTCCACGTGTACAAAATCAAAGTATCCGCCCCAGCCCGGGAGCTCGGGCACGCTCTTCAAGAGGCGGGAGTAGCGCAGCACGGTATGCACAATGTCCATAGTTGGGGTGTCAGCACCTGTCACGCTCGTCGGTCGGTGGATCCACACAGGCAGTCCAGTCTGAGCGGCGACGCGTTCGAGGAACCGCTCGCTGGCCCACTTGGATGCCACATACCCGTCAGACCCATCGGTTGGGGGCTGATAAGCCGCGACAGAAATTTCGGGATAAGAGTCCTTCCCGCTGAGATGGGCAACTCCAGACGTGGAGATGAAATGGAAGGGCGTCTGATACTTGGCGGCAAGGCGAACAAGCTCCTTGGTGGATTCCACGTTTGGCTTGCGAAGCGAGTGATAAGTCTTCATGAAGGAGACATCAGCGCCATTGTGGATGATAATATCAGCTGATGCGAAGAGCCTGTCTGCCTCGCTCTCGGAGAGTCCCAGTAGAGGCAAGTTGAGATTGCCTGCATGGAATGAGATCTTCTTCGACTGCTCGCGGGCTGCGGTGGGGTTTCGCACAGCCAGACACTCGATCTTTCCAATTTCCGGGCTATCGGCCAGCTGCTGGCGCAAGGCACGACCGAGGAACCCGGTGGCACCAGTCAGAAGAACAGTCTTTGACTTAGTAACGGCCTTAGATGGGCGCGACACAGGCTTGACGGATATGATTTCGGGGGAAACAGCTGTTTCAGCCTCCCAGTCGAT